GAACGAGAAGTCCTGTTTGTCCTGTAACTGCCACCTTCATTTGATCATTCTGGTTTTACTCTGGAATCTGATATTTTTCAGTCACAATATCTGTCCTTGAGCCTTTGGTTTGAGAGCAATCCTGGTAAGGCATGGAAGGGATGAAACTCAGGTAAAGCTTCCTCCTGTTCAATAGACAGTGTGGGATCTCCCCGCCCCTCCTTTTAAGGTTTTTAATAGTCTTTCTAGGCAAGCTTGACTGGAAGGGGGGTGCACTCTCTGAACACTTATCTCAAGTTGCTTTTGAAGTATAGATCCTCTGGCTATGAGCAACATTTCCACCTGCATTCCTGCAATGCAAGGTGTGGTCTCTAATCCTACCCCACAATGAGGGACAGTAGGAAGGTCCTCCAATAGGGGAAGCATGATGCACCATCTTCGGACTGGGGTGCTATCATCTGTCTAAACTGGGAAAGAGACCAGTTTGGCTCCTTCTCCATGAAAACTAGATACATCCTTGTAGGGCTTATATAGTCAGGAAAGGGGATACAAAAATCTACAAACCACCCTGCCAGCCTCAGGATGGAACAGACACTCCAGAGGGTAAATTTCTTCACAACTCCATGCTGCATCCCTCCACAAGCTTCTCAGTTAAGGGATGAGACTGAAGTAGATTAATTCAGGACCTGGAATAATGCCTATTCATCAGGCTTCAAACCTTCTGTAAAGGACTCCTTCAGGCAACCAGGTGTGGGTAAGGCAAAGGAACTTCTGCCTCTGCTTCTCCACTCTTTCTTTTACAAATTTATTACTCTGAAGGAAACAATTAAGATAAAACAGCTCTAGAAAAAAATAAGAAAAAGGCAAAAAGAATCTTACAATAGAAAAAATAATACTCCTGGGTATAGTCTTGTAGTTTGTTCAACAACAGAAACAGCAAAATAGATTTAAAATGATACAGAAATATATGGCTAAATTTTTGGTTTTTTTCTTTTAGTTGGTTAGTTTTATGGGGAACTGAACAAGCAATATAATAGGGAATACTGAAATGCTGACAAAAATTTAAATGTCATCTGCTCAGCTATTCAAAGGGTGAACTTCACCATTCAGGCACACTTTCCGGAAACTGTTCTCAAGTCTTCTAGCACCTTCTCATGTCTCATTTTCTGGTTTCATTTGCTTCACTACAAAACTATATTCATATTTGTAAAGATTTATTACACACCACATTTTAGATGTATCTTTAAATAAATATTCTTTTAGCCAAGAAAATGCTGATTTATGAGTGGCTTTCTTTCTGGCAGTACTTAGTATTAAGCCTCTGGCACCCTCTGCTGACCATTCTTTGTATCAACATACGTTATGTGACATCAAGCCATCTCTGACTTATGGTGACCTTATGAATGCATGCCCTCCAAAATGTCCTGACCTTGACAACCATATTCAGTTCTTGCAAATTTATGGCAGTGGCTTTTTTCATGGAGTCAACTGTTCTTTTATGTCTGTCTTTTCTGAACAGTCTCGTCTTCTAGAGTCTTGCCCTCTCATAATTGGCTCGATGTACAGCTTGTTTTATTTTTTACATCCAGGGAATGCTCTGGTTCGATTTGATTTAGGACCTACTTCATCTTTCTTTCAGTCTAGGCTTTTCCAGCAGCATGTTTCAAGCATATCCATTTTCTTTCTGTCAGCTTTCTTCACTGCTCAGCTTTCGCACATAGTGATTGGGAATATAACAGTGTGGATAATCCTGGCCTTGATCTCCACTGAAATGTCTTTATACTGGATTATCTTTTCTACTTCCTTCATTGCTGCCCTTTCAAGTCTCAGTCTTCTAACCTCTTGGCTGCTGTCTCAGCTTGAATTCATGACTGCAACAAGATATGTAACATCTTTCACAATTTCAATTCCTTCACTGTTGGCATTCAAGCTGTTTCTTCTGTAGCTGTGATTTTTTTCCCTTAACGTTCAGCTGCATCTCTGCATTTCCACTTCTTTCACTTTTATCAGTTGTTTCAATTCACTGTTGCTTTCAGTCAGTAATATATGATCTACATATCTTAAATTATTGATCTATATTGAACCAATTTTCACTCCAACTTCCTCTGATCCTAATACACCTTTATGATATGTTCTATGTACAGATTGAACAGACATGGAGATAAAATACACCTTTGTCTGACACTTTTGCCTATAGGAAACCATTCTCTTTCTCCACAGCCTGTCCTGGCAGTAGCTTCTTGTGCAATGTAAAGGTTGGTTACACATCAGGAAATGCCACGGCACACTATTTCTTTCAGGACATGCAGCATTAGAATTTCCTTTGCTTCTCTGCCTGTCAGCCATGAGGCTTCCTTTCAGCTTTGATCTAGTTGTGTGATTAGTAACAGCACTAGCCATACTTGTCCTTTGCTCTGCCCAGGTATTGACTGAGTGTCTTCCAGCCTGGGAAACAGTCTATCTGTAGTTTTATTTTAGATTATATCATCATAGAGTTTTCCAGCTAAAAAGTATTCAAAAGTGGTCTACCACTGCCTTCCTCTGTGCTGCACTAACCAGTCTGCTTCAGCATTACTGCCTTTCTTTGTGAAAGAACCTCTGCCAGTGTTGCATCCAACTACTGCTGCTGCCCAAGGAAAGCCTTGTTTTTAATAGTTTCACTCACCATATTTTTAAAGTTGAAGCCACAGCTCTGGCAAAGGAAATTTATAGGAAGGGTGCCTCTGCACCATCTTGAAAGCAGTGCAACCAAGGCAAATTATGCAAAGTTTTCATTCCATTCCTGTTCTCAAGAATGGGGAACATGGAGAACACCAAATCTAATTGTTTGAGGTGCACAATCAGAAGTCAAGCATTCCAAAAGCTCTGCAACAGCTGTTAGGCAAAAAGGGATTAATTATTAATTAAAGTATGTTCTGCATACACCTATTGTATGGCTGCCTGAGATAATCACAAGGGAAGAAACAGTCAGAATATTGTGATGCAGCTGTGAAGACAACAATACACAACCTCTTTCTATTACTGAGCTTAGTTTTCTACACTACCGAGGAAAGAGAAGAGCCACAAATCTAATTGAGTGTGACAAATTCAATGTCCTCTAGAGAGTACAGGAAGTTGGCATCACAGCCATACCTGCTAGAGCCCTCAGTGTAAAAATGTAGCTTGCAAACAAGCCAGATTTGACCATTTGCCACTCTGGATACCTCCCGCCCGCTTTTTTTTTTTTTGAACTTAGGATTGCCTGGCCAATCTCCTCTATGTGACCGTTGACCTACTTGCAGGAAGACCTCTGCTGCCCCTTGCCAGTCCTGATATACTGACAAGGGGCCAGTATATCAGAATGTATATCAGAATGAAATAAGTAATGTTTATACCATGGAGTTTGTACCACAGGGAACACTGCATCAGCTCCCCTGCTATCAGCTGACCAACTGCTCGAGCACAGAAGTCCTGCTGAAGTGACTGGTTGGCAACCCTACAAGTGTCTCTTTAATTTCAGGATGCATGCCATCCCTGAAGATGTTCAGTAAAGGTTGACTTTGCCCCTTCTACTGTTTCATTGGTGGTAGGCAGGTGTAACTAGGGATCCCATAATCTCTGCAAGCGTGAGCCCACCACAGAATGTGACTTGGAAAAGGGAGGGCAGGAAACTTGTTAGTTGGTCATTTGGGCTTTTCCTGATTAGCTCAGATATACCTGAATATGGAAGCCTCTCCTTACTTTTCTCATGGAACTGCATCATGAATTCAACCCTGGTACCTTTGCATGTAAAATACAAGCTAGAGCTCCTTCTGTAGCTCCAATGCTCCTCACATCTACAACTGGCTCTTGAGGTGGGAATTTAACAGCTCCATTCGGAGTCTGAGAAGTTAGGAAACTACTCTGGTATCAAGTCCTGATAGTTCTCTCCCTCATGGTATGCCAATTCACGCCTCCTGCTTTTCAACACTGGACACTTCTGATATCAGTGTATGTCTATGGCTGCTCTTATTGTGTGTCCTGGAGAGCTGTGTGTCCTCTCTCCAGGTCTCCTGCCTAAAACGCTATGGGAGTCCAGTGATGTGTAGGGCTTCTTCCCCTGTTGTTGTCTATCCTCCAAGAAGTGTTTGTATAACAAGACTCAAACCCTGTGTTTAGGACTAGGAGGTCACTGCTGCCTATCCCACCAAGACTCATGGAATAGGAGTGCTGTGCTGTAGTTTCCTTCAGTACTGAGATGCTGAAGGTATGTCGGGAGGGCATCCTCATCAACATGAAATCATTAGCTCACTCAGTGTGCAGCAACATGTGCCACTGTCATAGCCCCAAGCTGGTAGGAAATGGCGGTGTTGTCGTGATCACTGGGGGCACTGACGCACTGGGAATTTTTTGAGCCACATGTCTCCCTCCCCAGTGAACTGACCATGCATGGGATTCAGCAACTCTTCCACCATGAGAGCACCCACTCCTCTCCAATGTAATTGGGACAACTTACTCTGATAGGCTTCAGTCCTGTATATACTTACTTGGAAGTCCCACCGAACTCAATGGACATGCATAGGCTAGCACTATTGTAATAGGCTTTACAGAGAAAGAAAAAACATTCTAGCACTATTGTAATAGGCTTTACAGAGAAAGAAAAAACATTAAGATGCCTTACAAAATAAAGAACTTGTTAATACAGTCTGAGAGGAGTTGATACTTAGCCACCACAACTATAGCCAACTAAACTGCTAAATGAAAAAACAGTGAGAATATTATCTCCAATAAGAGAATCTAAATAAACGTCTGGAAAGGCCTATAATACTTACAATTTATATAGCATTTTTCCTCAGTGCGTGCTATTTTAGAATTTTTTAAAATAAAATGATAGACAAATATTGTGATCCCCCGTACCACAGATTTCAAAAGGGAGTAAGTATAGCAGCTTATTTAAACTGAAGACTCAACATGATTCATACTCTTAATTCTTGCATCATACCGCATCTGCTCTAGTATATTAGACTGTAAGACTTAATTCAAAAAATGGTCAATCCTCATACACTTTCAGTTTGGTGCAGCATCCTGGCTTCATGTCTCCTAGAAGCTGCATTGTTGTATCCAACAATACTTGACTTGAATTAATCAGGAATTCACGACCACATGCTAAAGCTGCAACATCTACAAATGAAAATACAAAATAAAATGATAAATACTGCACTTTGAAAACAGAGAATTCCTATTCAACAGGGATGTGGAATTGGAGTTGGAAGCAATTCTCAGTTTATTGGAGAGAGTTGGTAAAAATGAGTTGACTCTTAATAAATTTAAATTGTAATATAAATATATTAAAATTTCCTGTTTCACAGATAATAATTTGACTGATCTATTTTTTCAGGTTATATTTTCATAATATAACAATTTCATATATTAAAGTGGTGCCTCATGAAAGAATTCACAAAGGCCAAAAAGTGTCAACAAAGTTGGCCATTTTTGAACATTTTACAGTAGATAGAGAATATTAAATGTGTCAATGAATTATAGAGGATGATTGTGAAAAAGTATGTGTTGCAAAAATTAGTTTTTGAGGTTCTGATAAAAATACACCTACAAGGGGCATGACATTTAAAAAGACACTTGCAGCATTTTCATGCTAAAGTGTTACAAACTGTGAATGAGAAACACAGCAATAAAAACATTCCGTCTGCTTCAGGGCTAAAGAAAAATCAGAAATCTTTTAACAGGCTTTACAGATTTTTTAACAGGTTAGGGTTCTAAAAAGTAGCTTGATAATTCACATTGGCAGTGATGAAATGCCTTGTAGGTTGAGTGCTTTCAATCAATATAGGAAATAAATAATTAGTATATTTATTTCCTACACTGATATATAAATAAAGGAGTAAAGAGTAGAAAGTACTATAAATTGAGGAGTTGTGGTCTGAGTTGAAGGTTTTATGTACTGACTCCGCAGCCCTGCTACTCAACACAGTTTTTAAATCCTGTACCACTAATGATAACCATGTAATTGCTAAGAGGGGCAAAGAATAAAGAGTTCTAGAAAATTCCCCAAAAAGCAATGTTCATTATATGCTGAGTTTTGGCATTGTATTTCACTGTAGCACCCCCTCCTAAGGGAAAAATGCATGACCTCATCACAGTTGGATTTAAAAGGAAAGAAGAAAGAACTGAAGGCCTATGTATTCCAGTCTGCTCTTACAGGTAAAAATAATTATTTCCTGCTGCTACTAGGTATGGGTGGGTATGTTTAATTGCAATTATTATCCTATGTTCGTGTTTTATAATATTGTAAACCACCTTATGAAGACAATGCACCCTGAAAGATGGGTTTAATATATTAATAGTAGCAGTACTAGTATTGATCGTAATAAAAGTAAAGAACACTTCCCAACTTGTCAGGTAGATTGACCTTGGGCCAGTCACAGAGCCTTAGCCCAACCTACCTCACAGGGTTGTTGTTAATGAGGATACAATTGAGAGAAGAACTATGTAAGCTGTCTTGAGTTCCTTAGAAGTGAAACAGCGGAATATAAATGTAATAAATAAAAACTTCATTGCATGAAAAGCTAATTTATTGGTTTGAAAAACTGAGCCAAAGTCAAAGAATTTCACATGACCGAAGTGATAAACTGTGCTACCAGGACTTTAGTGTTTTATACACTGTTTTTTCCTATAATTTCAAAACTAACACTATAAATATCCATAAGATACCATCTAAATAAGCCAATCAACAATAAAAGCAAATCAGAAATAATATAACTGTGAAATAAAAGAGATAGGTAATTCAAAGGTGTAGTGGTTAAGAGCATGGGACTGGGACTCAGACAATCTGGGTTCTAGTCCCCGCTCGGCCATGGAGCCAACTGGGTGACTTTGGGCCAGTCACAGACTCCCAGCCCAACCTACCTACCTCACAGGGTTGTTGTTGTGGGGATAAGATGGAGGAGGAGATGTAAGCTGCCTTGAGCCCTTTGTAGGAAAAAGGCAGGATACAAATTAAAAAAAAGGTTATTAATAATATTAATAATTATGGTTTTGCCTGCTTGTGGATAGTTAACAGGTAGATGTATACACAGAACTGTTGGTAGAAAGTTCTACCACACAGGGGGTGCCACAGAGAAGGCCCTGCTAGTAGGAGTTAGCCTGCTTATAAAATGGAATTCAAAGCAAGGTCTCATCAGTAAACCTTAAACACAGAGTCCTGATTCAGACTTGGAAATAAACTAGATTCACTTTAAATATGAGATTCTTCATTCTTTCAAATATTTAATTGGTAGAAATAACATGTTACAACAATGTATCTTCCAGAAGAATTGCATCCTGATTGGCACACCTCAAGCTAGAAAGACTTTAACCACCTTTAGCAAAATTTCTGTGATATATAGCTCATAAATATCTGTGCTACATAAAGTTTTGGCAGTTATCTGATCTGTCAATTCTTTCATTAAGACTGTACAATATTTGACTAAAATAGTACACATAATGATAAACACATATTTATAAAATCTATGTAAGGCTGTCATGCTTTAACATTTGGACATTTTAGCTGGTGCATAACAGTGACTTGGTTTGCACATAATGGTAACCCATATTGTCATGATGTGTGAGCTCAGCCACATTAACAAGCCATGGTTTGTTAGGGCACAACCCAGAAAGAGAATCCATGATTTGTTATCAGTTTGTTAATTCTGGGTTGTTTAAACAATGGGTTCTATGTGAATCCGAAGCCATGGTTTGTTCGTGTGTTGTTTTACCAGGCTTCAGAGCACTGGGCAAGAGAAGTGTAAAAAACCAAGAAATATCTGCTGCTCTACAATCTATTACTACAACATGCAAAGGCATGTCAGATACAGGGAGAAAGAAGATGTAGGAGGAGGAAAACAAATAATGTATGGATTGAGAAAGCAAGAGATAGTTTGTTTGATCATCTGCCAGACAAACGCTGGGAAGGGCAACAATGGGAAGGACTAACTATGAGTTAGTATTGTGTGTGAAGCAGGTCTGCTACTGTGGCATCTGATGAGCTCCTTGTTGCCTTCCAGGCACAATTCAAGGTGCTGGTTAGTAATCAAGTCCCAAATGGTCCAGTTTATCTGAGAATGCCTTCACCCCTGCATCATATTATTACTTCTGAGGTCAAATCTGTACTTAGAAAGACTACGTTGGATGAAGCACAGTGGAGCACCCTGTGGATTATTTAGCCCATGTCAAGCCATTTTATATATGCAACCCCATTCTGGGATTCCAGCATTGAAGAAATAAAGAAACAACACTTGCATAACCCTAAAACAGACCATAGGTTATGCACGGATTGTTTAAACCTTACATAACCTACACTCATCTTGGTCACAAAACATGTGAATTCCCAACAGGTTTGTATATTCAAAACAGTGACCACAGATCTCAAACATGCACTGTAGCTTTGTCGTGGACTGTATCACCCACATTGGGTTGTCATGATACGCAAAAGCCCACTAAAACAGTGTGCCTTATCTCCAAGCTTTCAAATATGAAAACTTTACAGTGTAAAATATTTTTATCTTGTTTGCCATTCACCAATGAGGGCAATTTTAACTACAGTAATGGATCCTGTTTCTGACATACATGTATCTCAGTAGAGTGCATAGAAATGGACAAATCCAAATAACAAAAGTAAGTAAGTAAATAAATAAATATCTGTTTTAATAATTTAAAATAAGTTTTGAACTATTTCTCTTAGGTCAGAAGGGACATGGAATAATGTAATGCTGTATCTTATTTAAATTCATGCTTTGGTTGTATAAACTGTAAATTGAACTTAAGGGAAGCAATCCTATGGTCCTCTAGACAGCATCTGCAAAGTCACAGTGATTAGTAAAAAATCTACTCTTAATTTGTCTGTAAACAGGAATTACCGTATTTTTCGCTCTATAAGACACACCTTTTTCCCCCTCAAAAGTAAGGGGGAATGTCTGTGCGTCTTATAGAGCAAATGTGTGTGTGCCCGACGCCCGGGACGCTGCCAGCCCGCCTGCACCACGTGGCACCACCTGGCCGGCACGTGCTGCTCCGCCCCCCCGCTCCAGCGCAGGTGAGAGCTGTGCCACTCAGGGGGAGCGGTGTGGAGGAGGAGCCGCGGGCTTTAACCCGCCAGCTGCACGGAGAGATGGACTGCTCACCCCCACCGCCCGGGAAGACCTGCCGCCGCCGTGCCACCAGGAAGACCACCGCCAGCACACTGCCGGCCCGGCTGCACCACACCTGGCCGGCACACGCTTGGCGCGCCCTGCTCCGCCCCCCTCCTCCGGCGCAGGTGAGAACTGTTAATCACAGGTCGGTGGGTGTTTTCAAATGGCAACCCGTCTTTTAATGAAGCCCATGGGGAAGTGATGGGGAATGTGCCTGTGATTATCAGGAAGCTTTCCATGGATCCCTCCTCTAAAAACTAGGTGCGTCTTATGGTCGGGTGCATCTTATAGAGCGAAAAACACAGTAAGTAATACAGTGAGAATATTTTTTATATTAAAAGTAAAATATAAAAACAATCTAAAATAAATTCAGCATAGACACTTTGAAAGCTAGTCATTTTTAAAAGACATCTATATGTAGATAAGACACATTTTTTCTTGCTGTATCAGAAATAACTTACTTGTAATGATTCCCGCCAAACCTAACACAAACTGACTTTCATCAGAATCCAAATCCTGCTGTTTCATATCTTCAGTTAATGATCGCACAAAACTCTCCATTGTCTGGCCAGCAATATTAAAAAATTTTACAGCTTTACTCTGAAAGTTCATAAGGAAATAAATTACTGGTACAAACCTGCAAATTTCTAAAGTTTTTCAGTATCATCAAGTAAACATGAGAATATATTCCAGTAAATGTGAAAGTGTGATCAAAACAATACATTGCTCTCTGTACTATGCCAAGACTCCTCTAAGACAAATAGGACAACTTTAAACAGGGAAAAGGGGTGCATAAACATTGCAAAACAAGTATTTCATCTGGTTTGTAGAATTGGCCAACATTCTCTTGAGATGAGATTCAATGCATACATTATTCAAATAAGAACTACATTACAAGTGGCTTCACATGTGCATTTTTAGCATTTAAGCACTTGTTCAGTGGGTAATAACTTGGAGATGGATAACTGTACTAAGTTGTTGCTGCAAACCCCAAGAATCTTGTTGTACCTTAAAGATGATGAAATTATTATGGCACAAATGAACCTATACCATATTAAACTTAGTCTTTATAATAAAATTAATATTTAAGGCATCACAAAACATCTTATAGTTTCTTTGAGGTACGCAGCACCTTAGCGAAGGGGATGGGAAAGCACAGAAGTACATGCATCCACATGTACATGCACCGTGAAGCTGTCCTATCTGTGAGAAGCAAAGCAGTAAACCAATCAATCACATAATTATTATCATACTATTATACTAGTTAAGAATTTACTGTCTTAGATATAGCAGTTGGGAAAATGTGGCACATAGGCTGGATTTGTTTTAAAAACAAAGGATAATAACTATAATTATTTCAGACAGATTTTTATTTCTTTAGAAGTGAGGTATTTTCCCTAGGGAATTTTATTTATGAGTTTAGATATTTATACCAAGTCTCAGTGATCTTACAGCATAGATACATCACATTGTCGTCTAATTAGACTGGGATGCAGGAAATCTGGGCCATGAAGCTCACTGAGTAACTTGGGCAGGTTGCTGACCCTCAGTGTAATCTACCTCACAGAGTTCTTGTTGTGAGGATAAAATGGAGAGGAGAACCTTGTAAAAGGTAACGCTCTCCTGAATCCCACTGGGCATGTCTCATTTGTATCAACAGGATTTCTGAAGTAAGCAGGCATATTATTGCAATATTAAGTCCTTCTACCAAGAAACAAATAAAGAACAACTTTTTCCAGCAACCAGCACATTTTTTAAGAAGGTGAAAAGCAGCATTATTGAATTATGAAATATTATTACTGGATTAAAAAAGAAAATGGGCACATGAGAAAACAAGTACTTCATGTTACAAAAGGAGATGTACATTTCTTTAAATGACTACTACAGATGCATTTCTTAGGAGATACAAGTGTGGTGAAGTATTTTATTAGACTGATATCCCACTTTTTTCATACAATGAACTCAAGTGGCTTACATCATTCTCCTCCCCCTGTTTTTAGTATTATCCCCACAACAACAAGCCTGTGAGATATGCTGGACTGAGAGTCTGTGACTGGCCCAAAATCATCCAGTTGTCTCCATAGCTGAGCAGTGACTAGAACCCAGATCATTTGAGTCCCAGTCCTGTAATTATTATCCAAATAATCCAAGTATTATTCAAAAGTGGTCCTTGCTTCATGATGCATTTTGAGTAAAAAGTACCATAAAATACACACTGTATAATAGTACACTGGGAAACAAGTAGATCATATAGAAATTCAGTCATAAGGGAGGGATTCTGATTTCCACTATGTATTGATGACTATATGAAGTGCCTCTGCGATAAGTACTGGAAATAGTGAAAGAAAATGGCTAATTATTTAAAACTCTGAGATGCCAACTATTACTCCAGTCAAAAATTATGGCAGTTAGCAAAAGCAGTATCCTCAACTTTCTTAAATCTGTTTGGCAACAAAGCAAAAACATAATTTCTGTTTATTTCTGCAGCTGCATAGCTTGTCTGATGCCTGACTTACAAAACTGGCTAAAATAATTACAATAGCTCCTGAACTTGTTTTCTCAGCCCCTTCCTTCTAAATATATCTACATGAGCAATATTAAGAGTCCATTTGGTATCTGTGCTGTCATGTCAGTTTAGATCAGTATTTGGCCTGAAATTATGTAAATATACTCACTACTAGCTTTCTAGAGCTTAGGATCACAGTCAATATATTTGGATGATCAGCTGCTGTGTGCCGATTCTAACCAGACTGACCTAAAGGGGGAAGTCCTTTTTAATGGTCCTAACTCCATGTTGTCATTTATCTAGGATACCTACTGAATAAAGACATATACATTTACTGAACTTACACTTCCTAGGATAGTTTTGACTGCATCTTCATTGCTAGAGACACTCCATAACAATGTACACACTGCAGCGCCCATTTCTGTACAGTATTCAGCTTGTTGCAGTAATTGTTGCTTTGCCTCATGCAACTGCTGTATAGCAGTTATTTTTCCCTGAAAATAATTAAACTAAATATGAAGAAAAAAAACTGATACTAGAAGGGATTACTTTCTTCAGATAGTTCTAATTAAATGTTCAAAAAAGATGTCCAAAACCCTTGGTTTTGCTGGGAAACTGCAGAATCCTGTCATATACTACACTCAGAAAACATCCAGCAGGGCCAAATTAGATATGATGATCTCTGCCAAATGTCTTGTTCACATCCGATCCATACAAGTATTAAAAAAAGTTAAGAATTTAACTTTAACACCCAAAAGAGAGTGCTCTCTTACTGTTCTGCAATCTGTTGCTTTAAATGCTTTGCAACCCAACCCATCCCTGACACAAAAGGCAACTGTCTCAGGTGAAAGGACACAAGACAGAAGGAAGGGGAAAGTTTAGCCCATTGTCATTTCACTTCACCTTTATACATGAGCAGGGTAAGCATGTAAACAAACAAATCTGCCTTCAACTATCTTTGTTTGGAACTAAGTTAATAAAACAAAGATAACATATCAGCACTTATTTGTACTGGTCCTTTAAAATCACCAAAATGATTTTGGAATAAAAATTTGTAATTCATTATAGATTAAGAAAAAGTTCATTTCTGCTTTTTGGTACTTTGTAATTCAATATCACTGTTATATTTTAAAAGTTTTAGTAAACATGTAGAAAACACTTCAGCATATTCATCACAATTCTTCAAGATGTTCTCACAGATTCTGTGTGAGCAGTGTACAATGTCATAAACAAAAGAAAATAACATTTTGCACAATTTATATGCAAAGGCAGTAGGGACCCTTCTGACAATTCACAACTAATTTTGCCAAGCAAAATTTATGTTTGCCATCAGTGCAGGGCTCCCCTACAGGGAGATGCATGTCATGCCTCTCCAGTCATGCTGAGCTTTAGAGGAACTCAGGATTGAGGAGAATTATGGAATCTCTCCTGCAACACTAAATTCCCACTGGTTTAAAAGATATACTCACTCATGGAGAACTGGCAAGTACACAGGCAAACTCTTGCCTGACATCACAGATATATGATTGGAAGCATTTTATATACTCAATAGTTGCAAAATTTTGGTATTTATATATCCAGGTGGCATAACCAATATGAAAATGAGAACAAAGTCTAAGACAGCAATCCTATGCAGGTCTATTCAGAAGTAAGCCTGAATGAGTTTAATGGAATTTACCTTGGAAAGCTTCACTTCTCTGCCCTGACCAGCATTTTTTATTACACAATCTTTTTTGTCTGTCTAGCTGTGGTACATCAGAGAGGAAGGGAAGGAAGCTGAAAAGGCCTGAGAATAATTCATACCTTGGCCTCTTCAGTCTCCTCCCATCCCCCTAAATGCCTACTTCTCTGAGCTGACTTCAAATGGCACCTACTGCAGCTCTTTCTGTGCTGGCTAAGGGAAGAAGAGCCTGAGCTCCAATTTCCCTCTCTGAGAGGAGAACACTTCGTATTAGAGAATCCAAAATATCCTATAGCCCCGTAGATACAGCCTTGGGGCCACAAGATAGCTCCCTAATATCTGCCAAGGTTATGCGTGAACCAGTCAAGATTTTTGAGCAGAAACAGGAATGCACAACACCTCCCCACAAAAAAGAGGCAATAAGGAAAATTGCAGGTATAAATTCACTGAGTTATGAATGAGAGCTCTACCTACCTTTCTTTCTTTCATACAGTCTGCTTGGGCTGCTTCAAAGCGGGCTTTATAGTGTTCACAATCCATTCTTAATTGCTCCAGTTCAAGATCTTTCTTTTCTACAACTACAATATGAAAGGCCAAGTGAAGTGATACAAAGCAGATAAGGCATTTCCAAACATTACAATACACAGCCACCAACAAACCTGCAAATAATAAAGGCAGGTCCAAAGGAGGCTGACACACATGGTGAGGGGCCCGGAAAGCAAGTCCTAAGAAAGGGAGTACAGATTAAAAGAACTGTTTAGCCCAGAGAGCCAATTAAGAGGTAGCATAATAGCTGTCTTCAAACATATAACTCACTGTCACATATGGCAAGGCTGGGAATCTATTTGCAGAATCTACTTTATTTCTATTAGAACCCCAAGATCCACCAACCAAAGCCTGACACTCAAGATATTTATTTAGAATCAAATGAATTCTTAACCCAGGAATTTATTTCCAGTACCATAATTGAATTGAATTTACAGTCCTTCCACACAAAAACACAGGTTATCCCCAAGCTTTCTTAATTTTAGCATATACTTCTGAGTGTGACCGGGAGTAATTTTGATCACATCTTTGTTAAATAGGAAGCAGACATCTTTGCAGATCTACCACAAATCACCCAGCAATCTATGGTCAGATCTACCTTCCACTTTCTGTCGACATAGGCAATCAAGCATATTTATTCTCAGTTGCTCAAGGGTAGGCCTGAACCAATGAGTGCAAATCACAAGTGGATTTTGACTACACATTAGAAAGCCTTTCCTGATCGTACAAGCTGTTCAACTGTGGAACACTTTGCCTGGAAGACAGTAGGCTCTTTTTCATTAGGAGTTTTCAAGCAGAGGCTAGATAGCTAGATAGACATCTAACATAACTGCTGCTGGTTAGGAATGGTCAGTCTATTTTACCTTTAAGACCTTCACATATTATGATGCTTTAAAATCCAACTATTTTATTAAACCTTGTTACATGACAAGATGTAAACATGGGAGGCAGTAAAAAAAAAGCAGTGTGCACGTGTGGGGGGGTAATATTTTCCTTGTCTCGGAATTATCTCCACTTTGGAAGCTGATTTTACTGGGGAGCTCTAAGGCAAAGGTCAATTAGTCAGGCTAAGCTTTAGGGCCTAAAATGTAAGGTATTCCCTTGCCTCCATGCAATTCCACATTCCTCAATCATCCCCACCACCAAGGTCTTTCCTTGAGGGGAAAAGTAGGGACATCAATGGAGCACACATGTTTATATGCTACATTTAACTTGACCATTGTTTTTCTTGGTTATGCAGTTATTTCAAAAAAATTATCTGCCACACCATAAATTAGGCTGCTCTTCTAAGCTGTTTTAATAGCATTAATGAGTTAATAGTCACACTCATTAGCAACAGAACTCACTTGCTTCAACAGCATCTAATTTCTGAAAATTCTCTATGATATCACCATTCAATATTTTGGGCAAAATGTCATGCATTTGCATCACTTCAGTTGTCAGTCTTTCCAAAGCTCTCTTTCTGACTTTCACAAATTCCCCTTCCATCTCAGCTTTCTGCAACACAGAAACAGCATGTCTTTTATGTTAGCTTTCATATCACTGTTTTACTTTGCAGTGCAATCCACTGACAGTGGACATTCCAGTTTGGCCACAATCCTATATAGTTACATGCTTTTAAATTCCATTATTTTGCAAAAAAATGTATTCCTTTATTTATCAGGATTATGTTAAACTAGTTTAACCAGCTTCCCAAGTTGGATGCAATGAGAAATCATGGTTTAAGAAAACCCAGAGGTATTAAAATATTAACATGAAAAGCATCCTTGCTCTAAAAACTATGGGTTATTAGACCAGGAGTGATGTACCAGTACCAAGTCAAAATAACATTATATTTAAAGATTAACATACAACCAATGTATGTTTTTTGCATAGGTTGCCTTGCTACTACCTGTACTCTTTATTTCTGGTGGGAAACAGCTGCCAGCCTGTCTTCCAGCTCATAAAAATGTACATATATATTTTTAAATGAGCAACTATAATCTATTGGTGTATTTTGAATGCAATGTTACAATTCAACTTTCTGTACATGAACTCCAGACTCATATATACACCCCTTCTTTTCCAGTATGGAAACAAAAAGATAGGAGCTTTTGCTTCCATTCTCCATAATTTAGTGTTAAGTCTTCATTTAAACTATTGTTAACATTAACTGTGGTTTATTGCCAAGTCTGAAGTTTGTTCATATTAATGACAAAGCTTTGCATTATATGTCAATAAGAATATTATGTTGTACACATAAAAGGTAAAGGTTTCCCCTTGACATTAAGTCCAGTCATGCCTGACTCTAGGGGGCGGTGCTTATCTCCATTTCCTAGCCGAGGGAGCCAGCATTTGTCTGCAGACTGTCTCCGTGGTCATGTGGCCGGCATGACTAGTCAGCAGGAGCTGGGACAGAGCAACGGGAACTCACCCCGTTGTGCAGATTCAAATCGGTGACCCAAACTTTCGATCAACCAGCCCAGCAGCACAGCAGTTTAAACCACTGTGCCACCTGCATCCCGATTATACACATAGGATGCACTTAAACTACTTTATCTTCCCCATGTGGTACATTTGTAACTATTGAAAGACTTACATGTTATCTAAATATATGCCAACTTTGTTCAAATTTACTTATATTAAGAGATGTACATGTCCAGTGGTACAGTGGCAAATTTAGAAGTGGCGGGTCCCTTCATGATAGCCAGAGCCACACCTCAAAGTCATGCTTCCATCTAAGCCACATACCCCAAGCCACACCTATTTACAAGATTATGCAATATATGATTATACAATAATGAGCTTTGTCACTTTGTTGAATGTCTGTTGAGCAATGAATGCATGATGAGGGTATCTTTGCAGTGAAGCTATGACAGCTTCTAGAAGTCATTTCTTATTATCTTATTTATTACTGTGTTTTTGCTACATTCATACCCTGCTCTTCTGTCAAAAACCTCCCAGAATGGCTTATGAGAAATTAATAAGGCAGTTCCTGCCCACAGGCATAGTGTCTAAAACATGACATGCAAGGGGAAAGTGACAGGGAGGGAAAAGGAAAAAAGGAAACTCAGGCACTAATTACCCACACTAACAGAAATATATGTATATGTTATATTCTCCCAATAGCTGCAGTCTGGATTGACAATTACTGATGTTTTATCATTCAATTCCTCTTGCCCAGAAACTCTGGAAATTGAACCTCTCTGAGTGAGGAATAGGTGTCCACCAATGATGGTCTGTACGCTTGACAAACTTTGATCTGCAAGTTTCTTTGAGGAAGTAATGACTATTCCAAATTTGTGGTGTGGGGATAGGAGATAATTTGTGGAGCAACAAAGGCAAGCTGACCACATTGTTGCTGAGGAGCAGCCGAATTCACAGACAACACATGTGCATGGCTGGCAGGCATCCCCACATAGATAGTTCACAGGAACTGTTGAAAAAACACCTGTTCTTAACCCATTAATGGACGCAGACACAGTGGAAGCTACCAGTCATGAGCAAAATTAAGTCTCTTGAGAGGTGGTAGGGGAGGGACAGTGACCCTTCAGGGATCCAGCAACCCAGAGGGCCCCTCCAATGTAAGTGGGGGCACTATGACCCCCCTATGTCTCTCTCCACTCTACCCTTTTACGTAAATGTCATTACAAACCAAAAGTGATGACGAATCTTTGAGTGGATATGATTAATTATTTTACAGCCCAATTGTATGTATTTTTAGTCAGTGGTCCTTTATTAAATGGGACATATTTCTAGGTAAGCATGCATAAGACTGCATCCTAAAAATACTACACACATTAAAGCAGTACAAGATCAATGATCTTATCAAACATGAAAAATCATATACTGTACCTTATCTCTATTTTGCTCTGAAGATGAATCTGCCTGAGTTTCAAAATACTGCGAAACTTTAAAATAACTAGTCACTGCATAATAGTATTCAGCTATGTTATGTTACCCTTGGGAATTTTTAGCACCATTACCCAGTTAAAGAAATGTGAATAAACTAAATTTCAATAGATTTGCAAAATAATAATAATAATACTGTTCTGAAATTATTCCTGTTTATTTACCACAGTAAGCTGAATCTTAGATGAGGTGTTATCTGCTGTGTGACAGAAGAGGAGGATGGTAGAATTACATACACTGAAGTTTCTAAGTCTTTGCATTGAAAATCATGCTAATTTTTTAAAATCTGTTGCTTTTTCTAGGAACAATGTTGTTTTAACAGTGCAATTTTATGCATATCTTATTCAAAAGCAAATCCCATTGCTTTCATTAGAATTTACTCTCAAGTAAATGGTTATGCAGTTAAAAGTTCAATCCTCAGTGTTTTTTTAAAAAAAAACTTCTACCATGCATCAGCCAGAACTTACAGTATATCACAGAAGTGAGTACACCCCTCACATTTTGTAAATATTTTATTATATTTTTTCATGTGACAACCCTGAAGAAATGACACTTTGCTACAATGTAAAGTAGTGAGTATACAGCTTGTATAACAGTGTAAATTTGCTGTCCCCTCAAAATAACTCAAGAGCCATTAACGTCTAAACCTCTGGCAACAAAAGTGAGTACACCCCTAAGTGAAACTGTCCAAGTTGGGCCCAAAGTGTCAATATTTTGTGTGGCCACCATTATTTTCCAGCACTGCCTTAACCCCCTTGGGCATGGAGTTCACCAGAGCTTCACAGGTTGCCACTGGAGTCCTCTTCCACTCCTCCATGACGACATCACGGAGCTGGTGAATGTTAGAGACTTTGCGCTCCTCAACCTTCCATTTCAGGATGCCCCACAGCTGCTCGATAGGGTTTAGGTCTGGAGACATGCTTGGCCAGTCCATCATCTTTACCCTCAGCTTCTTTAACAAGGCAGTGGTCATCTTGGAGGCGTGTTTGGGGTTGTTATCATGTTGGAATACTGCCCTGCGGCCCAGTCTCCAAAGGGAGGGGATCATGCTCTGCTTCAGTATGTCATAGTACATGTTGGTATTCATGGTTCCCTCAATGAACTGTAGCTCCCCAGTGCCAGCAGCACTCATGCAGCCCCAGACCATGACACTCCCACCACCATGCTTGACTGTAGGCAAGTCACACTTGTCTTTGTACTCCTCACCTGGTTGTCACCACACACGCTTGACACCATCTGAACCAAACAAGTGTATCTTGGTCTCATCAGACCACAGGACTTGGTTCCAGTAATCCATGCCCTTAGTCTGCTTGTCTTCAGCAAACTGTTTGCGGGCTTTCTTGTACATCATCTTTAGAAGAGGCTTCCTTCTGGGACGACAGCCCTGCAGACCAATTTGATGCAGTGTACGGCGTATGGCCTGAGCACTGACAGGCTGACCCACCACCCCTTCAACCTCTGCAGCAATGCTGGCAGCACTCATACATCTATTTCCCAAAGCCAACCTCTGGATGACGCTGAGCACGTGCACTCAACTTCTTTGGTCGACCATGGCAAGGCCTGTTCTGAGTGGAACCTGTCCTGTTAAACCGCTGTATGGTCTAGGCTACCGTGCTGCAGCTCAGTTTCACTGTCTTGGAAATGTTCTTATAGCCTAGGCCATCTTTATGGAGAGCAACAATTCTTTTTTTCAGATCCTCAGAGAGTTCTTTGCCCATGAGGTGCCATGTTGAACTTCCAGTGACCAGTATGAGAGAGAGCAATAACACCAAATTTAACACACCTGCTCCCCATTCACACCTGAGACCTTGTAACACTAACGAGTCACATGACACTAGGGAGGGAAAATGGCTAATAATGCCCAATTTGGACAGTTTCACTTAGGGGTGTACTCACTTTTGTTGCCAGCGGTTTAGACATTAATGGCTGTGTGTTGAGTTATTTTGAGGGGGCAGCAAATTTATACTGTTATACAAGCTGTATACTCACTACATTGTAAAGTGTCATTTCTTCAGGGTTGTCACATGAAAAGTTATAATATTTACAAAATGTGAGGGGTGTACTCACTTCTGTGATATACTGTACTTACACTTTAAATGAACTATTCAACTAACTGACAAAGGGAACAATCCTATGGAAATAGCCAAAAGTCACTGCAATTGTAGGGCATGTTCACACAATGTAACTCAGGCTCCTCCAATTCTTTATTTGTGCTAGATGTCTACTGACATCTCAAAGGAGAGAGACAAGGAGACTGTAGTGACCTCATAACATTTCATATCCTGGTCTCTTCAATATATGCTGCCTCTAAGCCCTCTCGCAGGTCAGTCTCCTGACCTTGGGATGCAACCAGCTAGGTTCTTTCCATTCTGGTTGCGAGAGCAGAGATGTTTGAAGGTGCTCCAATTACCTCCTTTAGTAGTCAGGGAGATGTCTCCAGCCTTTGAACTAGGAAGCTAAACTATTCTGTGCCTCAAACAATATTTATGGGTCAGTCAATCATTTCCTAAGAGTAGAATCCTATACATGTTTATTCAAAAATGAATTCAATGGGGCTTATTCCTAGGAAAATGGGATTGACCCATAAATGTTGCAATCCTAGATTTATCTTACTCTTCATCCTTAAATAGTGGGCACTGTTATGTACTTAAAAGACCATGGTCCATGCACAAACCTGTAAATGCTATTTTATACATATATCCGCAAATCCAGAATTAACTATTAGGAAAAAATAGAGGAAACAAAGCTAGTAAATTACTTTCTTCATCCAAATTATCTCAAGTAAAATGAATTCAATTAATTTCCACCTTGACCCAGATAATCCCAAACCAAAGAAACATTTTCTCAGTTTAATTGCTATACAGCAGAAAATTTTACTAGAGGGTGTTACAACATGTAGGAAGGACTTAACCCTTCCCTCCCCAAATGCGGTTCGCCTTGCAAATTGCCTCCTTCCCTCTGGAAAGCAATTAAGCCAAGAAAAAAAAAACCACTTCTGGCACCAAGGGATACTAAGGGCTCTGCAGAAAGCAGATGCAGGGACATGTACTGTTCATGCTTTACAGGAAGGCTTATTTAAATAGTGGCCAATACACCTAAGCCCTATAGATTCGTAAATCACGACCGTTTCAGTGATGTGCAAAGTAGCACACTGTGTCTAGCTACAGGATGAGTCTATCTTGCAAAACTGTTGTGCACCATTGCACCAGTCTGCACCAACACGAGTTAAAGAAGGCATCCTATCTTTTTTAGCCAGGGTGATTGTGCAAACCAGGTCCTGTTTCTCTGTTTTGAACGATATTTTAAGGGATAAATTCAAGCCAAAAAGAAACAAGGAATCCCCCAATTTCACCCATGTTTCTACTGCTCCTGTCCAGAGCGTCCACGCTCTTATGCGGCGCAGCTACTCTTAATCGGCTTCCTTGTGGACTGGCGAAGCGCAAGGAGGCAAAGAGGGCCAAAAAGACGCTACTAGCCTTTTGGGATAAGGTCGCCACTTTCCTTATTTTAATAAAGCACTCTTCCAATATAGCCACCCTCTACAAATAGGGACATCCTTGGTTCTTTTCGGGGATAGGATGAGGGGTACTTTAAAGAACTTGGGTATCCTTATTTCTTTTCGTGGACAGCCTGAGAGAAAGGTAAACGTCCCATGCCCACTTTCTGGGAGGGGGCCGGAGGCGAGACCGGAGAGGAGCCCCAGCTGCGGGACGAATCCCAATCCGATTCAAGTCTTTGGCCCTACACAACACTACGACATCAACCCGAATCGCGTTCCTCCCCGCGCCCTGAGGGAAAGAAGCGTTGCCCCAGTCGGAGGCACCCGCAGCTCAGCCGCAGCGTGCGGGGAGCCCAAGCAGCACGCCAGCGGCCTCGCGCTACCTGGTCTGCCGCCCCGGACCAGGCGCGCCGCCGCCGCCCGCTCGCGTCAGAGCAGCCGCGGCGCGGGAACGGCAGGCGGGAACTCGGCACGGCCCGCCGAGGCACCGTCTACGCCACCTGAGGGACTGGCGGGCAGGATCGCGGTCCCGCCCTGAAACTCGAAAGCCCTCATTGGTCGTGCTCCCCAACGGGTCATCATGGTCGCTCGGTCCGCTCCTATCTTTGTGTCTAAAACCCAATTTAAGTAGCCTTCACTAAACCTCACGCCTTCCAGATACAGGCTCCTAGTGAAAGCCTGCTGCAAGAGCCAAGGCTTTGATTGCTAGATGAGTAACAGCATTGGCCTTTTGCATTAAAACCAAGGAACAGTCTTGTGTCACCTTAAAGTCTAACACATTTAGTCTGGCTTTTATTTATTCCACCTGATGAAGTAGTGTCAGAATAAAGATGTCACGAGCCTCTTGGTTGCATTTGATTGAGGATCTTTTCTTTAAACCATTATAAAATAGTCAAATATGTCTGTGTGAGAGCATAAAATGTGGCTGCATCCAACTGACTAAGTCTTCCTGTCTGTCCCCTAAGCTAGTTTACTGCCCTCATGTCTGGTGGAAGACACGGTTATATCAAAAGCATCAAATTGCTTGTCCTGCCAACTTGTGTGTGGGAAACAGGATGGGGTAGAGCATCATCGTGTCCTTTGCTTCAGGCAGCAAAATGTCTTGGACTGGCCTTGTAACATCATACTTTGCCAGTAAAGATCAGGACCTGCAGCTTTAAAAAAAACTTTATTACTAAATAGTTGTTGCATATGCTGTCAATCAGTTTCAGCCTTCCTCTGAAATCTGAAGATTATTTTATTAATTAATTAAGTTTAAAGACTGCCTATTAGCATCATGCTCTCATCATTATGGGGAAACTGCAATCATGACCCCACTATTCAATATTCACCCTTGAAGACAATTCAGAAACTGCAACTAGTGCAAAATGAAGCAAGCCAGATTAATAACCTGGATTAGAAAGTGAACATGTAACACCAATTCTGACTTCTTGCACTGATTGCCTGTATGCTTCTGAGCCTGATTTCAAGGTGCTAGTTTTCATCTATAAAGTCTTACACAACTTGGAACCATAATACCTGTCAGAATGTCTCTCCTGGCCAGAATCTACCCAGACACTATGCTCAACATCTGAGGCTTCCTCTGAAAGCCACCTCCAACACAGGCTTTGTTAGTGGCAATAAGGAGTGCCTTCGTATTGGTGGCCCAAATGATGAAACGAGCTCCCCAATTCTGTTATCTTGCTGGTGCCAGGTTAAAACAACCTTTTGAGGATCTTAATGGCCTTAATTGATTTTGGGGGTTTACTTATTTAGTTGTCTGGTTTATTGAATGTGTTTTTAAAATTGTTTTAACATTTTGTATCATACAAAAATTTTATAACTATTTTAAAACATATGTAAAATTCCAATAACTTCAGCAAGATCAAATCTGATCGATCCTGATTTAATTTATATGTCATCCCACTAGCCATAGGCTCTCTGTGCAGCTTACAACTTTTAAAGATGGGTAGAAATATAAGGAGAGCACATAAGAAAGTCCCAAAGAACTATAATTTCGCTTCTCCTAGGGGAGAGAGCTTCTGTTGTCCAGTTACTGCAATACCCTAATTCAAACTATACTAGAATGGGAGAAAGGTTGAAAAAAAAAAGCCCATCACGAAAGATGGTAAATGTATGGATGAATGTGCAAGAAGTGACATTCTTCCCACGTTCCCAAACCTACTAAACCGGCGTATATACATCCAAACCAGTGCAATATCTTTATTTAAAACTTTTGTAGACTGCCCCATTACCGAAGTCTCAGGACAGTTTAACAATAAAAAATGTAAGGGGAAAAATTAAAACACAGCGTCCTAAAATTTAGCCAATAATAAAACCCCACTTAAAACAGTCAGGTCTTAAAACATTGCAAAAATAACAAGGTTTGGCCTGGCGCCAAAAAATAAAGTATCTTTCCCTTCAGTGGTATCGAAACTGCAACCCTATGCATCCTTCTACGGAACTATTACTTCTGCAGATAGTGCCCATTATGCTTCTTTTGTATGTTGTTACCCTGTTTCATCTGTGCATTGTTCTATTTATGCATTATGCGCTATTCATCTATTCGCTTTTATTCATGCTGCAAGCCTCCCTGAGAACTTAGCTATAACGAAGGCGTCCTATAAATAACGAAAATACTTCTAACACTATAAAACATCGGGCTGCATCTCAGCAGTAGACATACGCGGGCAAGAAGGCCAGCGACTTCTACGAATGCTTTTCAAAATGACTCTAAAGCTCCGCGCACCGCCAACTTCCGTCGTTGGCCCCACCCACTTAAAAAAAACCCTCAATTGGTTACCTAGAATAATGGCGACGGCGTGTGTTTGTGACATCATCCGCGGGCGTTCGGTGGAGTGTGCTGGCTCAGCCCACGCGGGGCGTTCTCTTCCGCACGGAGAGGAATGGTCTGTGGTGGATCATGGCTCCCGCCGCTGTCGCGCCCGCCCTGCAGACCCCCGAGATTCAGTTCGCTCAGAGGCTGGCTGCGAACGAGAAACGGATTCGAGATCGAGCGCTGAAGAAGCTACGTGGCTATATCACTCTCAGGACCCAGAGTCCAGCGGGTAAGATCTGGGAGGAAGCACGTGGTGCTTGTAAGGCAAAGCAGTGTGCCGTGCCGTGCCGAGCCAAGCCGTGGATCCAATTGAGTTGCGAAGAAGGCGACATCTGTGAAAATATGCTCCCTGAAGTAATGGCAGGAATAAGTAGGCGTGAGGCGGGGGGGGGGGCATGTTGGTATGGGGGCAAGAGGAAAAAAGCACTGCCTGTTGGAGACCATAGAACTTTGGAGGGAAAGTGATAAATGAAGGGAGTTTTGGTCTGACTGGTCGGATGTTCTTATAATATTATGGGGCAAACAGGTATGGCAGGAGCTGTTGTTGGATGAACTTAAAAGTTTTCCTTTCTTTAATGCACAGTTTCCTTTTGATGCTTCAGGTAGTTTTACTCGAGAAGAGTTGCTAAAAATATGGAAAGGACTCTTTTACTGCATGTGGATGCAGGATAAACCCCTGCTGCAGGTATGTTTTATAAACAACATATATGTGCTGGAATAATAGAATTCTAAGATGCTGTAGAGCTTCATATGTTAATAGGCATATAATGTAAGTATTTCAGACTTGCATTGATTCAAGAGCCATTGAAGGGAAAACTAAAAATATCAGTGTGTATTTGTTATTAACCTTTTATAATCTTTCTCCTGAGGCAGTCCCCTGAAATGCTATTCAGAAGGTTGGGGTGACACTGCTGAATGGGATGAATTATGATAGTGGGTGAGGTGAATTGCCAAAAATTATGGAGAGTCAGTTCCATAAATAAAGCATCTATATCCCTGGATGGCAGATCTTGGATCTAACTCTGGATGCAGTTCTCTCTATATATGTGCAGCCCAATCTTATTCATGTTGACTTGAAAATAGATCCCATTTGTTTAATTGGTTATACTTCAAAAAAAGTGTAGGACTGGGATAGAAAGATCTCCAGTCTGTGGGCCAAATACAGCCTGTGGAGATTCATAATATGGACCACAAGCTTCTTGCACAGGCCTACCTCTTTATTCAGCTCTGGACAGGAAACCTCCACTCATCTCTGATCACTAATAGGAGCAGGGATTCCCCAAGAAAGTCTAATGTTCTTCGGCACAATGCAGAAGAACAGTCTCTTATCTCCAATAAGTGATCAAAGGTAACAGTGATTTGAAGGCATTGCAACTTTAAATACATTTACATTTTAGGATTGAGCTGTTCTTTGTATACTTGAAGCTGTTTCATTGGCATTTACTCCTAAGCAGACATGCATGAAGTTGTGATACCCTTTGTTTGCCTGAAAGCTATAGAACTTCAGCCTTAATCGTAGTGAGCTTTATTTTAGGTAAGTGAACACAGAGTTCAAACCTTATGCAGATATGGTTGACTATTATAGCTAGTCTCTGTGGCATTGCCTTTCTCATATATTCATAAAATATGGTAAGAATTTGTTTGATTAAAGCTGTAGGTTTGCATGTGCTTACCTGAGAATAAATTGCAATGAACTCAACACGGCCTTATTTCTGAATATTCACATTTGATTGGAATGTAAATACATATTCAAGTAAAATTACAATAATTTTATTTTCGATTTATATCCTGCCTTTTTCCTACAAAGGGCTCAAGGCAGCCTACATCATTCTCCTCCATCTTATCCCCACAACAACAACCCTGTGAGGTAGGTTGGGCTGAGAGTCTGTGACTGGCTCAAAGTCACCCAGTTGGCTCCATGGCTGAGCGGGGACTAGAACCCAGATCGTCTGAGTCCCAGTCCCATGCTCTTAACCACTACACCACACTGGCTCTCACTGTGATTTTTAAATCACTTCTTAAAATTCTGAGCTTGTTAAAGTAAAAAGTCACTCTCCTTTAATAGTTTATAGCCAAGTTAATACAGTAGTTAAAATAAACCAATTATTACCCAGCTACTAATAATTCATAGCCAGGGGGATGCATATATATTTCAAACTCGTCTCTACATCGGTCGTCAGAGTAATGATGAGGATACTTCTATCAATTATTTTTTTAGCATGCAGAATGCTTGATGATGGCTATTTTGAGCATTCTGACAACATCAGAAAATTAGCATTTTATTGATTTAAGTGAGGTTGAGATGCACAGACTTCCTCATGACTATGTGGCTGACTCGGATTTTGTCATTTGTGGATTTCAGGTTTAATAGACTATACTGCTAAAGAGTATTTAAGTGTTCAGTTTTGATATGCAATGCAGATCAGCGCTTCAGATTTGTGACATCAGTCTTTGTTGATCATGTACCCTGCTGTTGGATATAATTTTTTTCCATATAGCTAGTGTTTAATATTCTTGATTGCTCATCTCTCTGACTTGTGGGATATTTATATATCGAACTGCAACAAACTCAGTTGTAGCAGAGATAATGTTTTGACTTTATTAGTGCTTAAATTATGCAAGACTCCAAATGGCTTTTTATATTTATAGAGTGATTTAAAATTTCTGGAGGAGGCATATACTGAAAATGAAAATTTGATTTTGTTGCAGCATACGCTAAAAAAAAAGTATCCTTTTTTTAGGAGGAGCTCTCAAACAATATATCACAACTCGTTCATGTAATTGAGAACATGGCTGCTCGTAAGTAATTTTCTGTGTGTTTTCTATATATGTGAGGATTTCTAGCCAAGGCTGTTCCACATTATGTAGGGACACTGAAAATAAGACAGAATTTGATGTCTTGGAGATCTTTGTTTTCCAAACAGGCCAAGTTTCTAGCCCATGCGATTCCAGAGCAGAGTTTGAACAGCCATTATTTGGTACAGACTTGCATATCGAACATCATGCAAAGGACTCAAACAATCTCAGGATGAAATTCTTCTATATAATTCTATATAGACTATTAATGTTTTTACTCAGCCCCCTAATTTAGCTGATATGTGCAGAGTGACCATTCAGTCATTCTTGCACCTGCATAGAAGTAACTTTCAGCCACAGTTGCATCGCTATAGAAATTTTTGAGTTCCTTGTCCTATTGAGGACATACCATCACCTCAATCTGGGGAGATGAGAAAGATTAAGCCTTGCAAAATACAATGGGTGTGCCAGCTTTCTAATGCCATCCTTTGTAGTCTGCTCCCTCCTTCTACTGATCCTGGGGGCACATTGGCAACACTAAATTGCCTTCTCCTTCCCTCTAACCTCTTGCAGGCCTCTGCTTCACAATATCTGCTCTAGAGGGTTTCTGAAGCCTCTGGTACCTATTTTGAAGGTGCATGATAGGCTGCAGAAGGGTAAGAAATTGCCCTCCCTCCCAGTTTAGCTGATGGTGCTGTTTGTCAGCAATATTGGCTGCAACTCATAATTCACATTAAAGGTCTTGGACTTTCTTTGTATAGTATGCTTGAAGACTTGGAATTATAGGAGTCTTAATCCAACATATATTGAGGGCATCAGGTTGTGGGAGGATACTTTTTGTTGAGGCATTGCCTCTGGTCCCAGCTACCACTGACATGCAGCCCCTCACATTTCACCCCCCCCCCCAGGGAATGCCTTCCTCTACCAAAAAGTTCTTCCATATCCCTACTTTCAGCATGTTCTTTGCATCCTAGGATATATCTTAGGGAAGTTCAAACTTTTTTTCCCTTATGTATACAGTACTTATGAAAATATTTGAGGTGGAGTATTATTTTTAAAAAATCTTAAAAGAACTGATACATAGCTTGAAAAATATCTGTATTATTTTACTGCAGGGCATTTGTTTATTCAGACTTTTTGGCAAACCATGAACCGGGAATGGAATGGAATAGACAGACTACGCCTAGATAAATTTTACATGGTAAAAGTTAGCTCTTCTACTTCATGGTTTGAGTTTCCAAGAGTGAATAATGGTTTATCTGGTTTTGGTTCTCCCACTTCCCAGCACTGAAGTTCAGTCCCATCTTCATGATGCAGCAACTTCTAGATGTGTGACAATGATAACCATGATTTGTCAATGTGTCTGAACTGACATACTATAGTTTGAAAAACTCATTTCAAACCATGGTTTCCAATTCTGGGTTGGCAACTAATCTAAACCCATAGCCTGTTGATTCACACAAGCTATTTTTTTTAATAAGTTTTATTCTAAATAACCCTAATACAAAGAAAAACTAAAAACAACATCAGTCATCAGAAACATCAGACCTGCTGGGTCAGCCCCCACATTTTTTCTATTTATGAGAACTTAAAAACATATTTGAATCTATATGAAGTCCCGTTTCTCTAGCCAATAATAAAAAGAGTCCCAAGTTTGATAGAAATCAGTATCTTCTTTCTTCTTCAATGACAAAGTCAATCTGTCCATCACACAAGCTATTTTTAGATGATCTCATGATGCTGTAGTCTTGCCAGGGGGAGACCAAAATTACCCCATGGGCTCAACCCCACTCATCCATTCACGGACATTTGAAATGAGGATCCCAGTGTATGCATTTGGGAGGGGTTTAAATTGTGGTCCCACATGATTCTGAATTGTGTGGGGAAAGCCTGTATGTTTTAAGCAGTCTGCCTCAGACCTTCCCAGCAAGTTGTGTAGGTCCTGTTCTGCCCTTCACACACTTGTAATTGCATGTGGGGAAGAATGCCCCCAAAGTGCTATTGAGCCATAGTTACGGTTTCTTCATTTGCTGTCTAAATGGAGCCAGTGACAATGCTAGCATTGCTTCAGCACTTGTGTGATTGTTTCCTGGAAGTCTTCCAGAACTGTAGCCAACTTCTAGGCTAAACTGTATATTGATGCTGTAGGCCTTCAAGCCTTGTGCCAGAAATTGCCAGCCCTGAGCTTCAACATGAGAACAGATAAACACGTTCAAAAGAAATATCCAATGCCACCTTTCTAGAAATTTGACTTGACTTAAAGACGTGAAAGTCATACATTTGAATATTTTCCCATGCCAAAAATGGTGCACACAAGAAACTAGCCTGCCGTGGCCTTATCCCTGATATATGTGAGAATATATGTGTGATTCCCAAGCCTACATTTTAAAGTGGTACAGTCTCAGCACTGCTACATGATATTCCTCAATGTGTTAGGTCAGCTACCTTTGCCCAGGCAATTTCTGAATTATTGCAGTCCTCATGGAGAAAAGCTTGATTGTACAATGATATTCTCTGGCAGTATACATCTGTTGCAACTGCGTATCCTGTTGACATTAGTAGAACTTTATTTGCCCAGAATTTTAAGACTGGGCCATAAATCTATTCTGCTTAAGCAGAATCGGCTGTTCAAGTTTTTTGGAGGGTGAGGGAAGCACAGAGTCAGTCCTTGCTGTCCTACTCTTTACTTCTTCCATGTTCTGTTGGATGCCCATTGCGGACAGCCTTGTTGGATGGCAATCTCCAGTTACAATCTTGTACACCCTTACTCCCTTGTAAGTCCCACTGAGTGCAGTAAGTTTTAATTCTGAGTAGATATTGTGCTGGTAGTTAAAGTCTGTCTGTGGGACAAACTTGGTGATTTAATTTACAGCCCTTCCTGTGATTTGAAAAATTAAGATGTGTCTTTTCTCACCTAGCTGATCCGCATGATGCTGAGGCAGTCCTTTGAAGTACTGAAAAGAAATGGATGGAATGAAAGGTAGGTGACGCTTGGGGTAGAGTGTATGGATATTTGTATGTGTGCAAAAGAGCAACTGTTTTCACTCAGTGTAATTACTTGTGAATAAGCAGTGAAACACCTTTGGTTATGTCTGATAGACATTATGGGTCCTATACCAAAAGACTGTCTTATGCACATATTCTGTGTATGTTCATACCAAAGCCTGTTTTGTACAGACTTTCTCTGTATGTACTTTAGTGTAAGTTTAGTCTTTGTGTGTTCTGTTGTGGCTTCAACCGTATACATATTTACCTATGTGCGAGACCTCTTCAATGAGTAAGACAGCTGGGACTTACTTCTGGGTAAACATTCATAGGATTGTGCTGTTAACTTACCTTAAATCCCATACTTTGGCACGTTACTCAAAAATCAATCAAATGGCATTATTTGTAATTAGTGTACTACAAGTTATTCCCAAATATGCTCACCTAGAGTTACAGCTTCAGTATTAGGCAACAGATTTCTACTTTCATTTTTTTTAATGGCACCATCCTATGCATGTTTAGATAAAGCCCCACAACTCCTAGCATGCCTGACTTACATAATTAGCTCCTCCTGAAAATTTGGGCTTTTCAGTTATGTACCGTGAAGGCCTAGTGCAAAATGCTAGAGCGACCTTCACTAACCTGGTCTTTTCAGGTATGTTGGAGTACAATTCCCATAATCCCCTAGCCAGTATGCCCATTTGTAGTTGTAAACCAACACATCTACAGGATACCACATTAGGGAAAGCTTTCCTGGAACATTTATACAATTCTAAATGGCATTAGCAGTCCTACTAAGTCAGTGTTTTTAAAACTAAGTATGATGGCACCTTTTAATATGTCACAGTATTGGAATAGTTTTTTTTTCTCAGAGGATTTGTTATTAGTAAGAAATCTGGATTCAGAGTAGCTTGCCTCTGTTGTTTAGTGCTACTAAACTCTATTGTTTAGTAGCACTAAACAATATTTAACAACTGGCACAATACCATATAGTGTAACAGAACTGAATGGACTTCTTTCCACCCTCCATTTTTTCCAGTCTTACTGAGACATTTCTGAACATGCTAATGAAGGAGGTGCTTAACCCAGACACCAGTGCTGCCATTGGGGTCAAATTACATTTCATCGACATCTATCTGGAAGAGCTGGCTAAAGTTGGGGCTAAAGAGGTAGGCCACAACATGGCTGCAAACTGCAGCACCATAGCACAAGTCTTCTCTTTAAAAAGCGTTTAAAACCAGCAGGGTCAATTCTTTGTCACAGAAGGATGTGAAACCCCAGTTTACTTTCCTTGTTTGTGTTGCTTTTGCTTAGGTTGTCCACTATAATACTGTATTATTCTTGCACAAATTGCATGCTGCACAAGTAATATAACCAAATCTTCCCCTCAGATCATGTTGTAAGTTACCAACCTGTTCAACTTTGTATGTCTTAGTGATCTGTATAATAATTATTTATTATACTGATGTCCTGCTTTTTTCCTGCAACTAATCTCAGGTAGCTTACATAATTCTTCTCTCCGTTTTATTCTCACAACAACCCTGGAATGTAGTTTAGGCTGAGAGTTAGTGACTGACCCAAAGTCTCCCATTGAGCTCCATGGCTGAGTGGGGACTAGAAGCCAGATCTCCTGGATCTCAGACCATCTCTCTAACCACTAGTTGTAATACTAGTTTGGATGTATATAGTAGGTGGGAAGAGTATTCTTTTGATGTAGTTTTCTATTTTTTCAATAAATATCTTATAGTTTGTCTTATTTTGACAAGCTACATGAAAAAGGCCCAACACAGTACATAATATCATTGTACTGTTCATAATATAAGTGCCAACTGATACGGGAAGACCTGTCATATGTAATGCAAACACCTGCTGATTCTGACAGTATTTTAATTGGTGATAATAGAATAAATGCATCCCATTTCTTCTTGTTTTCCTCATCATAGGCTTAAAGCAACATTATGCAAGTAGACATTGGCTCAGTGGGAATTTCCTTTTCATTCTTTCTCCAGCACACTCTTCGGATCTGTTCCAGAAGGCTTTCCAAACCTATAGAGCAGATTTGGGGTGTGTGCAGAGGGGTGGAAAAATGTGATCCACCAGCGCAGTCTGTTCTGCTTATGGAAGGACACTATTATCTAAAACCCCATATTTTGGCTGTTGAACACTAGATTCCAGTTTGAATCATTTCAGTAGGTGCTATCTGCCAGTATTTCTCTGTCCTTGGGCAGGGAAAGAAAAAGAGAGCATTTGCTTTCTGTGAATATAATTGTAGGCATAGATGATTTTTTCCCTCTGCAATCTACTGTAATGGCTCTTCCCCAGAAGCCAAAGGCTAGCGGAGTAGAAGAACCAGGTTGAAGCAGAATTAACTCTTGTGTTTTATTCTTACAGCTCACAGCAGACCAGAATCTCAAGTTTATTGAACCATTCTGCAAAATTGTTGCCAAGACCAAGGAGTACGTTCAGTAACTGGATTTTGCTATTTAAGTTGGTTCTAGTAGATTGTCTGTGCACGCACGTCAAATAGTGTCTGAATAGTCATATGGGAAAAAAGAAACATAGCCCAGCCACAGAGGGTGACTGTGACACATTCTTTGTGAGGAAGGCTAGCTAGCTTTTGTGTGCTGGAAAATGAAAGTATGTGTAACTATGGGAACCACATCAATTTCTTTCTAGTGATAATAGGAAAACCAGTACTTGAGCCTCTGTATGCTGCTGGTGCTACACTGTTCAGAACATTAGAAAAAAGATTGGATGAATTGATAGCTCTTGATTAAAAATTCATGGAGTTCCTTTATTTTTGGCAATTCCCAAAGCCTTACTTGTGGAAGAGTAAGCAGTAGACCAGTAAATTTGCAAACCTTTCTGATACTCTTTCCTCCCTTCCTTCAATTGCTCAGTCATCTCGTACTGCAAGCTGTTGTCCACGGGATCTTTGAGGCCATTGTGGATCAGTCACCATTTGCCATAGAAGATTTAATGAAAGAACTGACTGCTGCTGGTGATGAGGAGGTATCAGAAGATGATGAATGGAGTGATGATGAGGACAAGCTGATGGCCAAAGGTAAGCACCTAGCTCCTGTGATCTTCTCCAGTAATCTCTAGAGCAAATTACTGCCATGCATTCTATGTAGGGGTGGGTGCCTTTGAAGAGTGTTCAAGAACTTCAGTTAGTTTAAACTGCAGCACCTAATTATAGTGATACTGTGCTGAGGGAACAAGTAACACCTGTGCTGAAGGATTCGTATTGATTCCAGTTATTTGTTCCAAACACAATTAAAAACATTGGTGGTGTTACTATTTATTTCATTTCATTTCTAGCCGTCCCATAGCCAAAGCGTCTGGGTGGTTTAGAACAGTGCATAAAAGAAAACAAACAAATACAGTGCAACTTTCATAAAACAAAACACTATTAAAATTATTTTAAAATGGCTAAAACATACAGTAAAAAAAAGAACCTGAAAAGGAAAAGTATATGTTGGATAACCCTCTCAGGCCCCTGGGAAACCAAGCACACAAAAGATCTTTAAAGCCCTCGGCATAAAGGGCTGTCCTGCCTTCGCACTGAAAAGGTAGCCAGATTGGCACCAGGTGGGCTGCAGCAGGGGAGTTCTTCCACAGATGGGAGGCCACTGCAGGGAGAGTCCCTCCCCCCTACCCCTACTGGCACCCTCTGAGCATCCCTTGAGGTGAGCACAAAGAGGAAGGGCCCAGGGGTTGAGCATAGCGTCCAACTAGATTGCGGTTGGGTGGTTCTCCAGCAGGTATTGTGGTCCCAAGCTGTCTAAGGCTTTATTGGTTAAAACCAGCACCTTAAACTGGGTCTAGAAGCAAACAAGCAGGCAATGCAGGTAGGGCAGAACCAGTCTTATATGTTCATTCCCACAGGTCCCAGTTACTATTCTGGCTGCCTCATTCTGCATAAGCTGCAGCTTCTGAACTGTCTTCAGGAGCAGCCCCAGATTGAGTGCATTGCTGTAATCTAATTTAAAGATTATCAGAACATAGTTTAAATTGTTAATCTAGCTTATCACTGTAGGGGTGCAGCTGGACAGCCAGCCAAAGTTGGTAGAAGGCATCTGAGCCACTGAAGCCACCTGAGCCTTAAGTGAAGTGTCCTGGTACAAACCTGATCATTCCAGTCGAGTGCAACCTCACCTAGAATAGGTTGAACACCTTCCATCTGGTCAAGGGAACCACCCACCAACAGCATCTTGGTCTTGTCTGAATCATGGCTCAGTTTGTTGGCTCTCATTCAGTCCATTGTTGTAGCCAGGAACCCGTTTAGCATGTTCACAGGCTCACCTGCTGAAACAGAGTTGTGTGTTACCAGCATACTGATGGCAGCACACTCAAATGCTGGATGATCCCACTCAGGCATTTCATGAAAATAATAAACAGAAAGGAGACAGAACAGACCCTGAGGAACTCCGTGCTGGAGAGAATATGGGACTGAAACTTATTCGCCAAGCACTACATTCTGCAGACAGCCCTCCAGGTAGAAGCGGAACCACTGCAATACAGCGCCACCAACTTCCTGCTCAGAGAGTTGTCCCTGGAAGTACTGTGGTTGGAAAGCCAAAGTTCATGGATAAACAGGGTCACACTCTCCCTGTCTCTCTCCCAGCATAGGTCATCATACAGGGTGACCTGCACCAAAAACAGGTCTGAACCCTGACTTGTCACTACCAGCTTGCAAGACTGGGAGATTAGATGGATTCATGGAAGACAAGGCTTTTGATAGCTACTTGTTATGATGAATATATGTTACTTCCAGTATCAGAGGCAATATTTATATATCAGTTGCTGGAGAACATTAGTTGAAAGGGACTATTGCATTCATACCCTACTAGTGAGCTTCAGAGAGGAATGAGGGGGCTACTGTGTGAACAGTAGAACATCTACTAGATGGACCTTTGCTCTGATTCACCGTGATCATGTTCTAAATCCTGTGTCCAGCTTTTTTTAAAAAAAGCTGCCTTCTTGCACACCAGTTGCCTTGTTCTCTGCTTTGCACTAAGCTTATTTGTAGTGGTTTCTCTTTGAGTTCTATCTTAATCATTGCCTGGACTAGCCTTCCCCAATCTGAGGTCCTCCGGATGTGTTGACTGCCATCCTGAACCATCATGACCATTGGTTGAGGATGGTGAAAGTTGTAAGTCATCACATCTGGAGAGTACCAGGGAAGGTGAAAGCTGCTAAGGAAGGCTGGCCTAAATGAAGAAATGGAACCTTCTTTCTTCCAGCTGGATACTAGAGACCTTCCCACTGAGTCTGGGCAAAGGGGTTCATTGATAGAGTTACTAGAGGATTTTCTCTTTCTTCGATCTGCCATACAAAGTTTGTATACCCTTTTCTGCTGTAGTTGGTTACACCATTTTAGGGTATGTGTATCACATAACATGTCAATTTAAATAGGTATAGTTTTTTATTGTTGTTGATAGATAAAACAGTTGTGCCTGTTTCTCCGTTATCTGGAATGTTGGCCTCCTTGATCTCAATTAAGTCTCTTCCCTATTCTGTATTGAGTGCTCCAGGTCTTCACAGTGCTTGTTAAATGTGCTGTTTGTTTTTGGTGTAGGCAGGGGCTTGTCAAACAAATCCCTGCTAGGCTCTGAGACTGAAGATAACCTTTTTGAAGATGCAGAAGATAATATTGGGCCTGTTCTCCAGGTAGGTGTTGTCACAGGCAAAGTACTAAATGGTCTAGGGTTTGAACACTAATGATTTCCTTATTGAACCTGATCAATAAAGGCAACTGTCTTTTGAACTCCTCCAGATTAATATAAAACTACTCAATGGGAGCTTTTTCTTTGGAAATTGGAAGACTTCCATACTACAATATCAGCTTTAAACTTAGACTAAATTGCTGTTTCTCTGTCTGCAAAACATGAGATACCAATGTCTCCTGGGTAGTTTTGATTGTACTGACCAGCCATGGAAGCTGGTGGCTCCAATAGCAGCAGGATAGTGGATCAACTCTGAGTTTCTGTCTGAACCTTCATCTATGTGCTAGCACCAAAATAGGATTCTGTGCCATAAATAGCTCCGTAAGAATTCCAATTGGATAGACCACCCTATTGACATTACTCAGCCACTGCTGTTGGCATGTAAACAAGGTACAGAAGGTCAGACCCAAGATTTAAGTCTGGGTCTTTGAGGTTCCCTATAAAGTTCCATATCCTTTCCCCAGCCATTGACTTTTGGGTTTTTGTGCAGCTTTTCCCCCATTCTAAAAACTATAGTGCTGTTTTTGTCTCTGCTCCTGCCCATTATTCATATATGACCTCTTCCCTGCACCTGAGAGCATCCACATAAAGCAGAAAGAGTAGATAAGTTTGAGCAACCCTGAGCTAAATGAATAAATATTGCTGATCAGAATTGCTGTAATGCATCTCTTTTTATTTGACAGTTCGATTATAAAATGGTTGCAGACACACTATTTGAATTGGCCAGCAGAAAAAATACACCTACTTTTAACAGAAAGCGCCTCTACAAAGTGATTAAAAAGTAAGTTCTGTAAATACAGATTCTGAATTACCAGTATAAATTATTTTTCCTTCTGCATCTTGTCATGCATCCCAGTTTTTTCACCCAATAAATACAATCCAGGAGCAACACAACTTTTTATCATTTGTTTTCCAGATTTCAAGACCTTGCAGAAGGTAAGATTTGCGCATCTTTTTTTCAGTTTTGTTTCCCATGAAGAATTGTACAGTATCAGAAGAGCTGGGGGAGGGCTTCATATGTATAGGGCATTTACTTGGTCTCTTTTATCTTGGAAAGAATATTATCCATGATTTTTCCATTTCACAGCAGAGCGAGGTAGAAAATCAGATTACAGTATGTGATGCTTTACATGGGCCATGTTCCTTGGAGGGGATGTGGGGAAATTGTCCAGGGCCACATGACCATAATGGGTGGGACCAAAGCTGGACATGGGTGCCCTCCCCTTTTCCTCTTCCTACCTAGCAGGCTGCCCAGCAGAGACAGATCACTCTTGTCAGAATTGATTGCTTTCAGAGGATTTAGGAAGGCAAGCCAATGGCCGCAGCTTGACTACTTCTGTGGTACAGTTTGGATAAATGAGAAGGAACTAGCCGTCCTCTTTAAACAAACATAATTTGTTTGTCTTATAAAATAGCAAAAAGTGTGCACCGGAACTAATGTTTCACAATCAGTAAAGGATCTTCAAAATAATGTTAGCCTTGGGACAGCTCTTATTCAAATATTCTCTCACATCAGGGGCTTTTCCACAAGATGATTTTCCTGAAGATGTTTCGACAGATGAAGATGATGATACTTTCAGCAGGAGAAAGTGCAAATGGAAATCTGGCAAACCTTTAGATCAGTCTAAGCTGGAGAAAGCCGGTAAGGGCGAGAACTGCTGGCAGCAATTTAGTCAATCTTCTACTGTATGTTGCACTTTGCTGAAATTTAGCTCCAACCTACTCAGTAGTGTTAGATTTGCACTTTTGGGGGGTAACTGACTGGCTTTTCTTAATTTTATTCCTGTACTGCTCAGTAGCTGAAGCTGTCTGGATGGTTCACAACTGCTCATAAATATAGGTTCAATATTTAAAAAGGCAATAAAATAAATACAATAGTACACAGAAGGTGCAGAAAAAATAGAAAGGGTACAGAGGAGGGCAACGAGGATGATTCAGGGACTGCAGGCAAAGCCCTATGGGGAAAGATTGAGAGAAGTGGGCTTGTTCAGTCTTGAGAAGAGAAGGCTGAGGGAGGGGGACATGATATTCCTCTGTAAGAAGCTCAAAGGCTGTCGCAAAAAGGAAGGTCAAGATGTCTTGTTGCCGATACCAGAGTGCAGGACATGGAATAATCAGGTCAAGTTGCGACAACCCAGATTCAGGCTAGCTATCAGGAAAACTTTCCTCATTGTCTGAGCGATACAACAGTGGAACCAGCTGCCTAGAGAGGTGGTGGGCTCTCCCACACTAGAGACATTGAAAAAGAAACTTGACAGTCATCTGAGTTGGTTGATGTAAATTGGTGACCTGATGACCTTCATGGCCCCTTCCAACTCTACTATTCTGTAATTCTTTATCACAAAATTCCAATATACATTTAAAACAGCTTATTAAAACAGTTGACATGTCCTATCATATGTTAACTCCCTAGGAGTATAGGGTAATACTCCACTGTAACTGGAGCTGGAAAGGTACAGTGTTGGCACCAAGCAGACTTCAGTGAGTACTGGCAGGGCAGTACTGAGAAGGCCATCCTTGTTGTCGCTCTCCAAGCTGCCCTTGGAGATGGTATACCTAGGAAATCTTCAGAAATAGATTACGGTATCTGAAATTTACTATAGTGAGAGTGCCTTTACTGGAAAAGAGAAATACCTATTACTGTTGTACTATGAGCATTAACTGGAAGGAGTAGACTACAGGCGGACTCAGGTTTAATTTAATTTGGAAAATCAGCCACAGTGGGGGTGATGATAATTTCATTATAATCATTACATTATTAACATTGTTACAAGCCAAGATCCCTGTTAGCACCAGATGCAATAATTTATTGTTTTTCTGTTGGGATGAGACCAGTGGCTCCTTTTTCTCAACATCTCAGAGTGGCTAAAGCAAAACCTCTGAGAGATGGCAACAAACAGGACCTAATGGCAGTATGGATCCCTTTATATTAATAGTACACCCAGCACCCAGAAGCCATTTTTGTTTCCTTGCTTTATATAAAATACGGCTGGGAGGCTTTCAGGATTTGGTGGGCTACATTGCCCTTCCAGATTTCATGGGAAGAGGCACCAACAGCACTATTTCAGCTGCTACTATAATACTGTGGCAGCAAAAAGGGTGGTGGGGCAAAAGTAATCTTACAAAAAGAATCACATTTCTTGAAAACTTTCAGAAGTACAATTCTGTTTTTAAACAAGGTGTGTGCACCTCACTTGCCTTGTTTTCAAGAAGTAACACTATTTTTGTTGTTATTTCTGTTGCACTGCAACATATTTGGAAGGGAGGGTGCAAAAAAAGCTATGAGGACTACATATGACTCACAGGCCAAATGTTACACATCCCTCGTTTAGAAATTAGAGTTGTTTTCCCAACTCACAGCATAAGAAGCTGTCTCTCAGTGGCTTGTTTCTTAATTTTACCCCTTCTTAATTTGTCTTGACAGAGAACACTAGCAACAGAAAAGACTGTACTGAGGAAGAAGAGAACAATACAGGAACACAGAAGAAAAGGAAGAAACGAAAAAGGAAGGCTAGTCAGATAGATGACACTTGCACAGCTACTGGAAGTTATGAGAAAGCACCAGTCAATGTAGGCAAATCCAAAGAGCCAAGCCAAGATACTGAATTATCAACTAGTAAGAAAAGGCAAAAAAAATCTTTAAGTATGAATGTCAATGAAGCTGGCTCCTTAGCAACTCCCATTGGAGGGCTCAGTGATAATTCGACATTGAAATCACTGCCATGTTTGGTAAACAGTATAAAGAAACAGCCAAAGAAGAAAAATGGCAGCCCCCAGAAAGTTCCTGTCAAAATTGCCCATCAAAATGGAGGCGCTAATGTTATTACTGCAGAGGATCTTGGTCACTGTGCTACAGTAGGTCATGACTGTGAAGTGCCGAAGAAGAAATGGAAACCAGAGCTTGGGATGATCACTGGGAACAGTTTTCCTGACGAGGCGGTTCAGCAGTCAGAGTTGAAACCCTTTGTGGAGTCAGAATCCACAACGCTTCATAAAGTGAAGTTGAAAAAAAACCAAACATTGGGGAAGTTGGTCAAGATTAGATGTTCCAAACAGAAAATAATTGGCTTAAGAAAGCAAAGGAAAATAAAGGAAGTCCAGAATTCCATAGATGAAAATGAACTTCAAGTTGCAAACAAGAAAAACAGAAGTGATGTAAGTAGATCCTGTTCTGCCCTAATTTTTTTACCACTTGTAGCCACTTCAACAAACCAGGAGATTGGTGGGCCACTTGAAAATTAATAGATGCCTTCTCAGGCCACAGTAGACAGTTTATGAGGCTGTGTGGTCCGAGGGTCTCCTTTATCCAAACCACATGTTCTGTGAGGATTTTACCTCAAACAGCCAAGCTTACATTCCAGATCGTTCTGCTCTCTGTTTGGAATATGTGTTCAGTGCATGGTTTCACTAGCGAAAAGCAAGAGAGCCTCCAGGTGAGGATGTAGAAAATCTTAGCTAGCTAGCTAAAGAAAAGCTCCATTCCAAATTAATCATGTTTCTTTTTGAGTACTTGGCTATTTTCTGAAATTAAGAGCTGAAAGCATTTACTCTTGCTTGGGTGGTTAGTTACACACTTGCATGAGCAAATGGCCTGCTTCTTTTTTATGAAATAATTTAAATCTAGAATTTTGCATTCTTCTGTTTAAAATTATTTTTATTATGTATAATTTTATAAATCAGTATCTACCAATTACAAAAAGGAGAGTTCACCAAATCATCTTAATGCAAAAATTTTGCACAGGCTTTATTAAATTTGTTCTTCAGAATTCCCCAAATGGCAACTAATTGGCCCTAAAATCACATTTTGCTCTGTATTTTTTTGCCTTGTGTATGCCCTCTTAAGGAAATGTTTCAATATCAGCAAATGTAAAGTGATGCAAGTTGGAGCAAAAGAATCCTCCAAAATTCCAGTGTATAAACAATCTGATCAGATCAGAGTTCAGTGGCTAATGAAGAGATCTTAGTTGTAGCAGACAACTTGATGAAAATACCAACCCATGTGGCTGCTGTGGAAAAAGCAGACCCCATGTTAAGCATGATTAGGAAATAAATCAAAAATAGAACTGTTAATATCATGGTGTCCTTAAAAATCTGTGGTGTGATAACATTTGGAATGCTGTGTATAGGGTCACCACAACTAAACAACAATATTGTAGAGTTGGAAAAAATGCAGAAAAGAGCAGTAAAAGTAACCAGGGCTGAAGCCACGTGTCTACAGGGAAAGGCCAAGGACTGCTTACATTAACAAAAAAGGCGAGTAGGTGGGGGAGACATGGAGCTACACAGAACTATGCTTATTCTAGAGAATGAAGATGGGGAGAACTTCCCCCATCCCATAATATTAGAAACTACGCTCATCTCATAAAGCTGATGGGTGGAAGATCCAGGACCAATAAAACAAAGTACTTTACACACTGCATAGTTAAGCAACAGAACTCGCTTCCATGAGATCTAGTGATGACCACCAATTTGCATGGCTTTAAAAGAGCATTGGACAAAGTCATGGAGAAGAAGCCTATCAACGGCAGCTAGTTCTGACGGCTGCACGCTGCCTCCAGTGTCAAGGGCAGTAGGTACACCAGCTGCTGGGAAACATGAGTGGAAGATTTAGGTTTCCTGTAGGCGGCCGATTGACCACTGTGTCAACAGAATGTGGGACTAGAGGGATCCAGCATGGCTGCTGTTCAGTTCTTAAGAAGTACACTTGGCCATTGCCACAAAATCTATACTGTTGGTATATCTCAAATGTGAAATTTTAGCCAACTTTCAGTATTTGAGACATGTGAATCTAGCAGCTATTACAATATAGCCAGTCAGTTTGTAATTATTTTTATGTATATAGCCTTTAGTAAAATTCAAATGAAAAAATAATGGCTCTTATAGCATAACCATTATAGTTACCTTTTTCAAAAACATTCTGGAAGTGGATATGTCCATTACATATGATCAAAATCACCACTTCCATAATCAAGGGCTGTAATTCTTAATTGATGTTGTTTATTATCACAAGAGTTTGACACCTTCTTATCATTTTGAAATCATTTTCTCTAATATTTACATATAAATAACTTTTATTTCCACTCGGCCACAAATATTCTGAAACTTGCATATAAATACAGTCTTTTATATGCTGTACTCATCTTGTATATATTCTTACCTGATCCATTTCCCATTAGAACGGATAGTATTTTATATGAGAGATATTTAACATAAGAGGTATATGCATTAGTACCCTTTCAAATTCTGTAACTTTATTTAGTTAACTGATAGAAGTGCCTCCTCTCAAAATTTGGAAATAGTCAACCCATAAGAAATGTCCAACAACCCATCTGTTTTTTATTTCATTATAATCTGCTATGCCATTGACTGCTGCTTGGACCTTTTATATCAGTTTTGGCATCTTTTTCCCCAATCAAAAACATTTTGAACCTTCTTTATTAAATTCAGGATTGTCTACAAATGATGCTAATAAGTTAGGTTTATTATGGTTGTATATTTATTCCCAGTTCTAATAAGATACAATGTAAAATATGTTTCTATGGAGGGGTTTGCAATTATTTTTTTAATCATGATATACCTATAATAAATTGTGTAATGCTACATTTGTAAGCCTATTCAGAACTTGCTATTCTGGAAGAGATGCCTTTTATTCAGTCAGTTAGCCAGTTAATATAGCTTGCATAATACATTTTATATTGATACATCCAAAACTTTTCATCTGTCCAAATTAATGCCCTTACCCTTAGCTTTTGATTTTTTTATTCCTTGCATAGAGTTGGAAGTAAATGGACTTTTTTAAAGAGATCTTTACCAAAAGGGGGTTGTGTTTTGTATTTGTGTTTTCTGGCTTTTAGGACTTGTTCCTTCTTCCAAACTGCCTTTGTACTATCCATTCTCTCCCTTGAACTGCCAGACATAGTATTAGGGCTGGTTCCCATGTTTGAAAGGGAGAACTGCTGTACGCACCCAAGTGCATGGGCCCATAATTCCACCTGGTGGGTAACATTTGATAGGGCTGTATGGAAAAGAGACATGGTAGTCATGGACAAACACCGTACTATGTTTGGTGCATTATGTTTGGTGCATTATGTTGCATACATGTTGGTGGAGTAGGCAAAGCAGGCTATTTCTCCACCTATTTCTGGTTCTTAAATGTGTGATTCAGTCCCATGTCAGATGTTCTCTGTGGTATTAACAATTCTTTTAACATTTTTCATTCTGTAAGTGATGCTGTTGCTAATCCAAATGCCAAAATTAAGCATTTCGTTATCACACCCTGACTGCACCAGTGCTATCCTATACCCAGCAGCTCATTTATTCCTATGCAGGAAACTGGTGTTGCTGCCTTTCTGCTGAAGAAGAAGGATAAGGAAGGGAATGCCTTTGTGAAATTTGAAAAGACAGCATTACCAAAGCCAACGTTTTTTAGAAAAGCCAAAGGGAGCATTACCTCTATGCAGGTACAGTAACACTGCCCAAGTCTGTGGCTTGAGGATTTCTGAAATAGGTTGTTTGATTGCCTTTGAGATTTTGCAGGCTAGAGAAATTGCCATGGACTACCAAGCATTGTTGACTGGGAACACAGCATCTCTGTTCTTCACAAAGGGCAGTATTAATATGCTAATAGTGGGTTCTGCCAACACAACAGAAAGCTAGTGGTTGTTAAAGCAATCAGAAATGAATAGAAATGCTTATTTCTGGGATGTGGCAGGGATCTCTGCTAACTTGTCCTAATCCGGAAACAAGCATTTCTACTCATTTCTGGGGTTCCTTGGTGAAGCACCAGGTCCTTGTTGTGCTAGTAGGAGTCACACAATGAGTGGGAATGCAGTGACCTCACTGGATCCTGCCCAGGGGCTTTTCTTCCTGGCAAAATAGTCACTGAATGCTGGCCTACATGATACCATGCCTGTGGAACTGATTGATTACTGGAGTAACTGCTATCTCAGCCATGGTTACTATAGAATTTGTTTTTATATTGTTTATATTTCATGGACGAGGCTATCAGTGGCTACTAGCCTTGGTGGCTGAGTGCTACCTTTTTTTTTTTTTTTTACCAGAGATGGCATGTCTGTATATACCAGTTGTTGAGGATTCTGCTTGGGGGAACCTATGAACAGCTTGTTTGCTACTGTGTGTATGAAGTGGTGGACTAGGTCAGGGGTCGGCAACCTTAAACACTCAAAGAGCCATTTGGACCCATTTCCCACAGAAAACAGAACACCGGGAGCCACAAAACCCTTTTGACATCTAAAATGAAGATAACACTGC